CAAATGATATATCTATTTGCAACTTTTTGAGAAAGTGCCATACAGCCTTCCACAGTGGTTGCACCATTTTACACTCCCACCAACAGTGAATAAGGGTTCAGTTTCTCCACAACCTCGCCAGCATTTGATGTTTGCTGTTCTGTTAAATTTTGCTATTCTGACTGGGATGAGATATCTCATAGTTGTTTTGGCCGATGTTTTCCAAGGCCCCTCTACTTGTCTTTCCCAAGGGTTAGCTGAGGAGAGAGCCGTGGTGTGTGAGCCTGCAGATGGGTCAGGAAAGCACCGTGCTGCGCGGTACTTTCTTTCTGCAACCTGCTGTGCTGTACTCAAAACGGAGGTTTGGAATAACAGTGACAGAAGGTTATAGGGAGAAGGTGTCCCTGCTTTTGTCTGTGCAGTTTTACTGACACACAGCCATGCTCTGTTGGGTGTGAACAGTGATGCCTCTCACTCCATGATTGCAGAGTTGAATAGTTGCATCTGAGTCCACATGACCAGCAGAGCCTAAAGCATTTATTTTTAGTTCCTTGTTTGGTAGCACTGTGGTTAAAGTGCTCAGCCACTAACTGCAGTCTTAGTGGTTTGAGCCCGTCAGCTCTGTGGGAGAACGATGGGGCAGTCTACTTATAAAGATTTACAGCCTTGCAGCCCTGTAGAACAGTTCTGGAACCATCTGTCCCACAGGCACCTGTGAATTGGACTCACCTAGGGTGGAGGGACAGCACAAGAGGGAAAGACCCTGGATGAGATGGATTGAAAGAGTAACTGGGATAACGGGGTTAGATGTGTCGGAGACGCTGAGACTGGCTCAGGACAGGGCAGAGCTTGTTGTGCATAGAGCTGCTGTGAGTTGCAGGTGGCTTGATAGCACATAATAATAACAACAAACCAAAGGACAGTGGTTTTAATTTAGCCTTTCATAAAAAATATACTTCTTTATAAAGTCTATTTTTTATTTATGTTGTGACTTGAGTTCAAGTTTACATAGCACGTAGGTTTTTCATTGAATGATTCATACACATTTTGTTTTATAATATTAATAGCAGTATCCACAATGTCGGAAATGACTCGACGGCACGTAACAACAACAACAACAACAACATCCACAATGTAACTGTACTCCCACTTCCTCACTATAATTCTCACCCTCTTTGATCCTCTGTCCTGCCTTTTACTGCCTTCAAGATTTTACCCCTGGACGAATGCATAGAAAGTTTGTTGTCTTCCCTGTAGGAGATGGGTTCACTATAAATGCAGGTGCTGTTAGGGCTGTACGGCCTTATTTTTTTTTT